AAAAGCAAACGAAACCACCGATTACGCCCCGCACAGAGACCTCCCCTATTTCAGCCGCATTCCACCTTGGGATAGAGAAGGGCGCGTTGGACGAGTTTCACGAACCTAACTCTAGTTGCTCCAGTGCCAATGACATTGGGTGGGACCGCTGCCTCAAATGCGCCCGCGCTTTTCAAGCAGCGCCACGTGGCAACCGACAGCGGAGGGTGGGGCTTGCGGACGAAGGTGTGAGTTGCGGGTCGGACGAGCTCCTTGCGCCTTTGTCGCGCACTTTCAAGCGGCAAAAGGGGCGCGACATCAACGCTTGTCCGCCTGTCTACTACCCCCGGGATGGAACAGGCGAGCGCGCCTAATCCGGAGCGTGCCTTTAAGGAGAACAAACTAGACATGAAAACGGCACAGTAGCTTTACCACCAATACAGTATGCGGTGAAGCGTAAACCAAGAAAAACTATGTAGGACTCGAATCCCATGAGGAAAGAGGATATACACAACGCTGCAGGAATGTTTAACGAAAAAGAAAACGAAAATGAAAACGTAGTGTGAAGCATCCGTTTCGGGTTCATTAACTCCGTTCCTCAGCTTTTTTTTGAGCGTGTATGTATGTTATACAGATGTTGTTAAAGTGGAACTTGATCGCAGTTCTAGATTTGAATCTGCTTTCTCCTTCTCTCAGAAGCACGATTAAGATACCTTTAAAATGCCTTCATGCTTTGTAATCACAAACGAGTGCGTGGCTCATCTTAGAAGCAGTAAAACGGTTCACATTTGATTCTCATTCGCAAGGTTATTGTTTTCGAAGGTACTCAGTCAATCAAACAAAAGTTTATAGAACAACAGCCATTCAAGCGAGTGAGCTTCCGAAACTCAGAAAAGAGAATGCTGGGAACTGAAGTATTGCGAGTCGGTGGTTTTGCAGGTGAGATTCAGAAATGTTCAATAAGCGCGAAACACCTATTTTTTTCTTCATAACGCTCACCATTTTTCACAAAGGCTTCATCAAAAACGTTCTTGCTAATCGAAATTCGAAAGCTCGTTTGATCGAATCATGCATACGATACGGCAGCAAACACACCCAACCAGGGTCAACCCTACGTTGGTACAAGTACCAACGGGGGGGGGGTCGTACTTGGTTGAGCTTGGTGGGGGGTCGTACTCTCTCGGTGGCCGGCAGTGGGATTCTTGGTAATATCCCTATTGATCATAGATGGTGGTACGGAGGGAAAGAGCAAATTGCAGCACAGAAATTGAGTAAGTGAATAGTTACAAAAAAGCTTTTTCTTCCTTTCTTGATGGCGCACCTTAAGTGCATTACAAGTAAATTAATAAATATGTAGATTATGCGTTATAAAACCACGCTCCCTTCCTCGCGGACGGCCAGTGTATTTGTTCCGTGCGCCACATGGTGGCGCACGCGGTACGCAATGTGTTAAAATTCATTGAAATCAATAACAAAGAATTTCCTTTGAAAAATTGGTAGCATACATTGTCTGTTACACAAGTATTACATACAGGGGGGGTTGTATCAAACACCCATGAAGGGGGGGGGGTCGTAAAAAATTTCAAAAAGTAACAACGGTAGGGTTGGCCCTGCACCAAAGCTCCTTTCCAAGCAAATTTCATAGATGTAACGTTCTCCTAAAGAACGCGAATAGGTCGCTCTCATACAAATTGGCTGTCACATTGATTTCTAGCACGCTAGACAACCCCTTTGTTACACAGTTCCATCAAAATTGGCAGTAAGACAAATATGAAAACGGAGAAACTTTGTTTGAAGAGCATGTTCTAATTCTAACCTTGTGCTGAGCTACCGAGTGAGGTAGTAAGCGCAAAACAATTGGAATCGATAATTTTCAGCTAGCCGGTCTCGCTTAAAACAGTCTGCTGTTTTGTTTGGGCTCGGTAACATAACACTCTCTGATCGGCCTCCATAAACTGAGCGAAAACTTTGATTTTGAAGTCCGTAGTCCACATTCATTGGGAGTCGTCCAGTCTTACTTGAGAAAAAAATCACCAAATGCTTCTGATGCAACTTATCTTCGAGACACTCACGATCGCAAGAGTTTCGACACAGGAAGATCAACCCGTAATTGCCAGGTCTAACACCTTTCTTACTCCTTCTTGTTTTTTTTTGCTCTGATTTCACTTCCAGATGCCCTTCGCTCAACTATGTACGCTGTGCTGACGGTATGCTATGTATCCATAAAAGGTGAATATCAACTTCAACTGCATAGTTTCTCTTACAGTTTTCTAGTTTTCCAAGATGCCGTTTGAATTTTCCCTATTTTGCCCCAATCCTGCCTATCATTCTAGAAGGTGCTGCAGTGGCAGCTGGAGAGCAGTGGAGAGAGGAGGGGAGGATGAGAAGAGGAGGAGGAAATCAATTATCCTACAGATCCATGGAACAGTTAAAGGCAAGATTCAAGCTTAAATTGATGAGGTAATTCCACTCAAATGTGATGTAGGGGTGGGAGGTGGACCGCCAGTGGAGAAAAAAGGAAAAAAAATCGTGAAATACACAGGAAATACGAGCCTTTTGCTCTACGTTGTGGAGAAGCAGATCAGCAGCGACGCAGACAAAATATCGAGCGGTGGGCGGAGCGTGTCGCAACAGGTGGAGCGTGTCAAAGTCCTTGGCCCCTAGCGCCTTAGTGACGCATTTCGATGCGGATTTTGGGGGCGACGGACTTTTGGTGCGTCCGGGGTTGCACGCGGCGAATCGCGCGGCGGGCTGCGCGGCGATCCGGACGAGGCAAGTCTTCGCGGGCTTCTGCAGTGGAATTCAACACGTCAGAACGTGTGCAGATCGCGGATAGAATCCACAAGGTTCTGCGATTCGAATTACATTCCAACGCGTGGATATTCAAAGGCAGCGGCAGGAAGAGAAGAAAAGGAATAGCAAAAGGCTGTTATAGCAATCAGGGCGCTTAGGTTGCTGGCGCTTGTTGTTAAGGGGGGGGGGGGGAATCCCATGAGATTCAACCAATTATTGTGTTTGGGACTAAGCCTGAGGGGAAGAGTTTCTCGTGGAGGATGTGAGCAATTTCTGTTCTCCCGAGCGTATTTCCCTCTCATGAGCTTAGTTCTAGTGTCACCTTCCATTGGCCCTGTTTTGAAAGTTCTCCCCAAGGACAGGAGCGCCGCGATTAGCAAAGATATAGAGTTGACAATAACATCTCACTAAATGACTCCATTTTTAGTGCTTCTTATTCATATTTATAATATGATAATAGTGACATTTCTATGAAGTTTCTCTCTTTCATCTCCTTTCGCTGTAATCTCCTCACTTACTCTTTCCTCACTGACACCGCTGCATTTCACCGATCTCCGCGAGTGGGAAGTTTTTTTCAAAGCAGAACCTTGTGGATTCTATCCGCGATCTGCACACGTTCTGACGTGTTGAATTCCACTGCAGAAGCCCGCGAAGACTTGCCTCGTCCGGATCGCCGCGCAGCCCGCCGCGCGATTCGCCGCGTGCAACCCCGGACGCACCAAAAGTCCCGCACCCGGATTTTGGCGAGTCGCCTGCAGTTGCGTCCCATGCACTTCTAGCCACTTTAAGGGCTTATTAGGTGGGTCTGAGCCCGAACTTTGCCTTTAAGTATTCTGATGTCACTATAGCTTTAATGTCACGATCTAATAGTGTGACAAGTGGATGGTACCACAGGAAGGGTGAAGCTTACATAGGGACAGAGGTCTCGGCGGATGGATGGGGATCAATCTGGTCACTTAATAAGCAACATATGCAGAAACAAATATGCTCAGTATCATGTCCTAAAATCGTCAACTTCTAATTTCTCAATGAACGCGTAACATTGAGCCACATGCAGTTAACATAAAGATCTGCCGTACGCTGGAATACTCGTTAACGGAAGTTCCACAACAAAATGATCCTAAATGTCCTTCTATAAGTACACACAGGCCCTCCACTATCCTCACCGTCTTCAAAATATGACGTCATCTGTCACCGTCGTCTCTAACTATGCAAACCCCCTCGGAACCCGCCCTTCGGAACCCGTCGTAACGGTACACGATCAGTCGAGAACCCCATTGAGCTCGACCAGAGCACCATGTTTCCGGGGCAAACTTTTCTGATGCCGTCCACGTAGATGGCCACTATGAAGATTTTCTTATGAAATGAAATGCGCTCTTCAATTCTAAGTTGGGAGCACACGCTTTGAGCTGAGCAAAGTGTGATTAAATCCATTTGAGTCTGGAGACAAAATGTCTTTTTTTATTGCCCCCTGTTTGATTTGGCGCGCCATACTTTCCAGCCACCCTGTGGATATAAATGTTTACAGTGCTCAAGCGCTTTTCCTGCTTCCCAACACATAATAATAGATAGCTCATAACGCAATAACGCATTGCACACTAGTGAGTGCATACGAATGAGAGCTACGTATGCATTCATAGGCTTCTGCAGCAAAAAGAATCTGTTCCAGGTGGATGTGCGATGGCCGAATTGACTGTTCAGATCACTCTGACGAAGACAGCACGATATGTTCAAAGCGACCACTTAATGGGAATTTGGTTAGTATTAAGACTCAATCTTCTTGAAAGCACTTATCAGAGCATTCAAATGTTTTGAAGGACGGCTCGAATCGTTCATGTGCCGCGAGTCCAAAAGTGCCCCAAAAGATGGTTTTCGTGCATGGATGGTTCTAAATGCATCCACTCGCGATTTGTGTGTGACAGAAAAAGCCATTGCAAGTTAGTCTATTAAAGGCAGATGAAAAGTTAGCTTATTGGAAATAAGGGTAGAGGTGGTCAGTGGAGCAGGGATGAAGAAGAAACCATTGAAACGGCCCGAAACCCGAGAAATGGGACCCCTTCCTTGCCCGTTGATTTGCGCCCTCTTCAACACTACGCTCTCTCTGCTATCTAATCACTCGCCGCGTATAGACCTGCGGCGAGTGATTAGATAGTCGGTGGGCGTCCGAGCCAACTGCGCCAAAGGCGAGGCCATGTTAGATCGCCGGGGACATGTCATCCAATGCGAGTTGCGTGTTGAACCTTACTTTAGGAGGTCCGTCCTTTGATTGCCCTTCACAAATATCAATCCATAGACACGGCCCTCACCGCAGTCGTAATTCGCAAAGGAGCTAGATGGGTCATCCCCGTGAGCCGGATAGTGCTACCAGAAACGCGGAACACAAGCCGCTCTTGGAAACGCATGCGCGACAACGGCGCCATAGCCTTTTTATCAGGATCCACCATCGACAGTGTCCAATCCAACTTTTTTGAGCCTCCCTACCCTTCTAGTGGTTTCAATACAGCTCCTTGTATCAGCTACGCATGTGTTTGGGTGTATTTATACTTCGGATTTGATAAAAATAAAGGTTTCCGTGCTCTCCTCGCTGTCGCGCTTTGCGCTGGAGCGCTCCTTTTTCCTATTTATTTGACGACGGGAAGGAACGCGGGCTCAACTTTCAATTTTAAACCAACGCAACTTCCTTCTAAAACTGAAATTTTCCTACGCTCACGCATCTCTCAAACCATAGGTTTTTCTTTATTCACAGCTCTACCATCTTTTCTAATCCTTGTAGAGTTCTTTGGTTTGAAGTGGTATAATAGTAGACCATCGAGTGAATGTGAACTTCTCCTTTCAAAAGGTCATATCTTCCTTCGAATGTGCTCCTGTGCGAATCGGTAAGAAGATTTCGAAAGATCTAATTATTTTCTTCTCACAAACAATTGAAACGCTAATGGATGTTTAAAGCCCTAACGAGCGCGTTTTGGCTTTTTTTTATGCGCGAGAGACCGGCGCAAATTTGCACGCGCCGTCGCATCATCAACCGTGGATTTTGAGCTATGAATACACAAGATTTTAAGGGTTCCAAAATTATTTGACGTGGTTGTTTCGGTAAAACACATATCTTGCCATGCGAATAGGTTTGTATTCACTTCTATTATTCTTTTTTATCTACATGTTACGTTAATGAAAAGAAAACGAGGAATGAACTGAACACATTTTCGTAAGGTCTGGAAAACCTCTGCCAAAGAATATTTGGCCATTCTGTGAGCCACGTGGTTTTGGTTGTTGATGTATGGCCTATAGAATATACACGAAAACTTGGGAAGAAGTTGGGCATGTGCGAAAAATGTAATAAGTGTGCGAAACATATTGTGCATATAAATGTAATAGTTGCCGCAACGTCCGACATGGTGCGGACATGGCGGCATACATGGCTGTCATTAATGTGTTGACCATTCAGAACATCGTCCTGCTACTGTTTCTTTGATCTCTCTTCTGTATGATTTTTCAAGCTACTTTCCTGAAACCTGTGTGGTCATCTTTGTCGTCCCATGAGTTTCCTTCAGATGCTTTTTTCACTGGAAGTGGTAAAGCCATGGGAAAACTTAACGATCGTTGTTCAATGAAGTGTTCTGGTTTGTCCTGACAATCATTGAAGTGAAATTCTTTTTTTTTTTTCTCGCCAGAATCTCCTAGTAAATCACTGGAAGTCGATCCGGGCACTTTTCTTGGTCTGACAGTCCTTGTGTAGTTCTTCTTTAAAGCAGTGTAATATCCTGATTCGTTTCTGGCAGTCAGAATGCATGCATTGGAATGGGTTTCGCATTCACATCTTTCAAGCTGCGAGGATTCAAAATTTGGCCTGCTCGCATGCCTTGTGACATTCGAATTCGCCAGCCCTTGCTCTTACGACCCCGTTCCGCTATTGAAATACGACAACCTCCTTTGTTGAACATGGCACAACGGACGGTTAACGTCTATTATTCCCGCAGCCGTTCCTCCTGCTGTTCGTGTGGCAGTGGCACATGGAGGGGATATCTGCGTCTCACACATTTGTTTACCATGCTCAATCAAATCCGAGCCTCTTCCTTCGTCTCTACGCTCAAAGGCAATGATCGGGCTCAATATGGAGTATTATGGCGGATGAAACTGACAAGGAATGTCCTTCAGGTCGCCATGGCCGTTCTACATGAGATGTATACCACTCTATGCATTCTGACACGCTGATTTCAAATCTGCCTTCCAAATCTGCTAAACGACTCTCCGAACGGAGTTATGAAGCGTAATAGCTCAGTGGTGATGGTCCGGGGTGGCAGGTAAAAGCTCGTAGGATCGGTTCCTTTGCAAGTTTGTTGCTTTGCTTTTGTCCGCAACACTTCTAGAGACAAAAGCAAAGCAACCAATTTGCAAAGGAACCGATCCTACGAGCTTTTACCTGCCACCCCGGACCATCACCACTGAGCTATTACGCTTCATAACTCCGTTCGGAGAGTCGTTTAGCAGATTTGGAAGGCAGATTCGAAATCAGCGTGTCAGAATGCATAGAGTGGTATACATCTCATGTAGAACGGCCATGGCGACCTGAAGGACATTCCTTGTAGTAATGGAGATGAGAATTGGAATGACGTGGAGAAAAAACGAAAAGAGACCGTCTACAATGCCGAAAACGAAAGTCCAGCGCTCCTGCACTAGCGAGTGAAGGAGGACTGGTTGAGATAAGATGCGATGCAAACGAGTTTTCGGCGGATTCGCAGCCGTCCATCGGTTGACACGGTAAATCAACTTCCTGATTCCCCACGTTAGCAGCCATTCCGGAGGTGGGGGGGGCATGGCTGATGACAGTGTAGCTATCGCTCTGTAAATAGTGGGCCAGGGGCCTTGCCGCCCCACCATTTCGATTCGGAACCGCGGCATCACCCTTTCGAGCCAGGCCACATTAGTGATGGAGAGGCATTATATAGCAACCTTATTTTTGAATTGTAGCGTTTTTTCAATCGCGCTCATATCTGCCTGCTGTCTGCGGCCATCTCTCTGTACATAATTTACTCTCCAAAAAAAGGACCAAATCTTTGGTGTTCCAATTGATCCATTTCACATCTCTACTCTCATTTTCGGGAAGAAATCCACAACGGTCGTCACACAAAGGTTGCTCAGACGAGAGACCGTCAAGTCCCCAGTTGTAATATACCATTAATATACCATTTAGGTAGACGATCATCAGCGTGCAGGAAACAAGAATCAATTTTTCCGTGGTAAAAAAAAAAAGATAGATTTGCGCATCATTTGCATTTCAGATGGATTGGGTGCCTGAACAGTGAGTTCTGCCACGCCGCTGGTTTGCACCTGAAGATAAATGCCACAAGGAAACTTTGATGTGACACAGTGTGACTTCTTCTCAATAAAGTTTTTTCTTCAACAAAAAGTGCTCGCTATTCGAAAACGCATTCCGCGTTTGCTTGCAGTGAGAGTGTGCTAAAATGGTGCAAATCTGACAGTTGTATAATCTGCTCTAATTTTGGAAATAAAGCCGGTGAAATTCCAGTTCGGGGGGGGGGCACTCCATTGCTGTCTTATCCACAGTGCTAGAGAGCACTCCTTCGGGCTATCCAACACTATGGATAAGATAGCAAGTAAACGACTCATTTCAAGCGTACTTCTGATAAGGACTGGTGTATGTCCTCCACTGCACACATCCTGCCTGCATCCTATCCACTTTTCTGCACAGGCCATCTACCCTGGAGCTCCTTCACCCCTAGGCCTAGGCAGAGGTGTCCATTCTCCTGGCCCAGGACCGTTTCCTTGGACCAGGCGGAAATATGAAATCATCTCAGGGTTTCCTCCACATTACACCGATACTTATCAGAAGTATCCTTCAAATGAGTCTACTAGGTGTCATGAGCCCTATAATCCTTATCTTGAGTATTGGAGAAAAAATGGAGTGCCCCCCCCCCCGAACTGGAGTTTCACCAGTAAGCCTGTCAGGTGAAAAGCATGTTTCGCTGAATTCGAATAACACATTAGCAAAAGCGCGACACACCAGCGGATCACACCCATGCCGCTCAGTCTAAACATTGCGTGTACTTCTCAAGAGGTTCAAACACATGGCACATCTTCGCACGTGAATGTTCTTGGTGCGCACACTTTGGATTTTTTGCGTCAGCCGAGTGTGATAGATTGTAGCCATTTTTGCTAGTCAATTTCTAGCCACATTAAGATTCCGCCCAATTGCGAAGAAGTGGGGTAGACGTTGGTATGGGAGGGTGAAAACACTGGCATGCGCTTCTGCTGTTTGATGAAGTCAGAAGTCAGGAAGTGTTAAATTCATCTCAGGACCAGCACTCGCTTATACTTGATGCATGAATTGCGATGTGGCTAACTCAATTCTCTCACTAAACAATTAGCAGGTATTATTTGAAGCAAATCACACCTTTCGCTGCTTCATTATCAAAGTAAGGGGCAAAATGATGCCTAGAATCCATACTGAAGCAATAACTCCAGATGAGGTCTTGTCGACGAATTCTGTTCTAGGGCGGGCGATGGAGTAATCCAGGAGTATCACAGATATGCCGTTGTTGCGGCTCGAAGGTGCGCAACAATCGCATTAGGACCTTACAAAGTTATGTGATGACGACAATGTGAACTTACGGACGACATACCTCGCGTTCGCTCTCACGCAACGTGGATTGCGACGGAGCGGGTAAGATAGCTGAGAGGAAGATTGATAAGATAATGTATCGCGTTGATGCGGTTGCTTCAAAAAACCTGCCTAGGCCAGGGCCAAGCGAGGCGTCGAGAAAAATTTTGAAGTACGACTTCCTTCCCCAGAGGTCGGCGTCCATAAGCCATGACTTCGTTCCTCGTCCAATTTGAAAAGCTAATACATCAACATTAACTATTGCCAATACGAACTACCGATACGTTCAGAAGGAAATCAAAGAGCATTGATCGCCTTATTAGGCATCAACGATTTCGAATAGCTGGTGTCTGAGAACTTCCCGCTTGTGGGTAAAATAGTGCTAATTTGATTTTATTTTGAATCAATGTTCCTGATTTACTGATTTGGTTCCTGACGAATTGTTGTAGTGCACCTAAGAGTGCATAGTAATAAATAAATAAATCAAATAAATATATATATATAATATAATAATAAACTTACAAATAAATAAACATAAACTACAGTCCATATCCGACCGGTTGAGGGGGCGGTCCCACGGACGTACCAGCGCTGCGGCCGCGACAACGCGGGGATGGAAGGTTGCCGTATCCCAGTGATTGAGTGGTGTCTGAGCAATCCGTCCTGCCGTCTGCATTCCTCCGCATGCACACTATCTTAGCAGTACGACGTAGCCTTTCCATCTGCGCTCTCGCCACTTTTCCGTCTGCGCTCTCGCCACGGTCGATCAATCGAATTTATCAGCTGTTTTGAGCTGAATCCGGCTAATTTCGGTTAATATTCTCAACTGCGCGCTTCTTTTTCACAGGTAAGTAAGTTTTAAACATGCTAATTTGTTTCTGCATAATTTTCAGTTGGTTTTATGTCAACATATCCTCATAAGCAGCAATTATGCTTGTTTTGTTTGTTTTTTATTTTTTTTTCTCTTTCTATTTAACTCGTTCTTCATGATAGTGCCTGTTTAGAAGTGTTTCCGACAATAATGGAAACACATCAAAGACACCACCATGAAGAACGAGTTAAATTAAATTAAATAAGAAAAAATAAAAAACACAAAATAAGAATAATTGCTACTAATGGGGCAATGGTTGGACATAAAATCAATCAGAAGACATGCAGAAGCAAATTAGCATTTAAAACTTACTTACCTGTGAAAAAGAAGCGCGCAGTTGAGAATATTAACCGAAATTAGCCGGATTCAGCTCAAAACAGCTGATAAATTTCGATTGATCGACCGTGGCGAGAGCGCAGACGGAAAAGTGGCGAGAGCGCAGATGGAAAGGCTACGTCGTACTGCTAAGATAGTGTGCATGCGGAGGAATGCAGACGGCAGGACGGATTGCTCAGACACCACTCAATCACTGGTATACGGCAACCTTCCATCCTCGCGTTGTCGCGGCCGCAGCGCTGGTACGTCCGTGGGACCGCCCCCCCCCCTCAACCGGTCGGATATGGACTGTAGCACATCGTCTATTCAGCGATTATAGAATTGCTAAACACTTTCACTATCAAAGATAATGCCATCGCTGAGGATTTGCCCGATTACCTCCAAAAGCTTTTTTTGTGCATCTGGCACTATTATTAACCGCTATAGCTTTCTTTCAGGGGCGACTTTTGCGGCAAACATGGGGCAGCTCGAACCGAGCTTTTTTCTCATCAATAAGTTAGAATTTTTTGCGTAATCTCCAAACTTTAACACTTATACTTCATAATTTGACGCTGAAAGCCGCATTTCGTGTCGAATAATGGACTCCTCCCTGTGATTCCCCACGGATTCTTCCAGAGTCCTCTTGATTTTTCCTGAATCTCCTGGAGGTTCTTTCTTCGCACCTTTGATTTTGCAGCTTTGTTTCCATTTTTCGTCGCGGTTTTTCTTTAAAGGAGGATTGCACGGAAAGAACGAAGGTCGAAGAAGGGAGAAATCGCCTAGTGGGGAGAGCGGTGAATCTCTTGAGGGTGCGGACAGACACGCAATCGGCATCGAAAGATTTGACCTCTGAGATCTAGCATGGCTCAAAGTTGGCGAGTTCGGCGATCTCCGCCCACCGATCGTCTGATCACTCGCCGTAGTACAATAGGTGGCGAGTGATTAGATAGCTGAGAGAGCGTAGGGTTGAAGAGGGCAAAGCGATGAGAGTCCCATCAATGCTCAAATCAACGGACAAGGAAGGGGTCCCATTTCTCCGGTTCTGGGCCGTTTTTCGTGGTTTCGCTTTCTTTCTGGTACTACTCACCATCTCTACCTCAATTTGGAATGGGTTGCTTTTCCATCGTAAATTCGTCCTTTAAATGAAAGGTATTAAAGAAGAACATAGAATCACGAGAAAAAAAAAAAAAAAAAAAAAAAAAAACCAGTGACGGAAATGGAACGCGAAGGCTGCAAATCAAAGGTGCGTACCGTTATCAGTGGCTCGAACGCAAACCTCTCAACCTTTCCATCCCTCCCCTCCCCAACATTCACATACTGCCCATGCGTTGGCGCCAGTCACACCAAACTGACCCAGGGCTGTTTCATCACCAAATTTGCTGTAAGCTTGTATTCGGGGATTAATTGTGGTTCTGATTATGGATATGACATTCATTTTGCCGCCACGATATGGCTCCTAATTCCCGCTCGTCTGCGCCCTCTCACTGCATAGCTCGCTACTAGGAGCAAGCCTTGGTGGAGAGTAGGCTACGAAGTTATTACGACACCACTCACCCTAGTCTTACACGCATCAACGTTTGCCTCGCAGTGCCTGGTTCACCCACACCGTGGTCCCCCTCCGCCCCACCATCTGAGCGTAGTCATAGGTTATATAATAATATTTATATATTATAAATATAATATTATATCGTTAACCAACAAGGCGTTCCGCTTGATTTCCGCGCCGCGCACGTCTTCAACTTGCTCGCTGGCGTGCATGACGACCTGTAGCTCATGGTCACCCCTTTTGCGAAGTTAGGTCAAAACCTCGATTTTTCCCGAAATTCTGCATGTGGGGGTAAATCAGGGTCCTGATCACGAATATGGCTTTCGTTTTTGGCGTAGGCGCCATTTGGCGCCAGTTTGGCGCTGCAAACTTATCCCGCCAGTTTTTATAGAAAATCCATTTGTAAGAGCTACTGGTTGTCCTGACTGTGAATATAGCGTTAGTTTTGACTCTAAAGCAATTCTGCGTCAGTTTGGATGTTCATCAAATGCAAACGCTACGCCAAGCGACGGACTCGAAGCCCAATACGTGCAAACTCGAGCCGCACCGCTAAACTTGACCACTCACTTCCGATGCTGCAACGTGATGCCGACTACGCTTATGAAGCGATCACACTTTTTTCAGCAATACCAACAGAACTTCAATTTCGAGCGAATTTCACGCTGTTTTCAATATCACCTTCATCAATACCCTTCACTTTGTTGGTGATCTTCTTCTACAAGTTCAAAGCATCACTCCAAGGCAGTCAAAACCACCCATTCTTACCAATTTATTTTCGACCTTTTTTTGACCTTCACAGGGCCGCTCAGCGAAAACGGAACACAGTAATGTGGTCTATGTGAGAGCCCCTACAGCATGCAAAAAAGCGTCCCACACTCTGAACGACCTCCCTTGTAAGTTCAGGCTTTTGTAAGTTTGATTCTTTGATTATGTGAAAAAAGTCAGTGATAGCTTCTTTTAAGTCTTTGTTCAGTTGCATCAGAGCTGGAGTGCATCGCGGGTTTTCT